GGAAAGAGTCACCATTATAAGTTAGTACAATCTGTCATTTTTAGCAATTGTACATTAACTGATTTATTTTGGATTCTTGTGGTGGCGTGGTGATCAGTGCGGTTGCCTGACAACAGCAGAGTTCCGGGTTCGAGCCCTGGCCGACCCACTGTCTTTCTGTGTGCAGTTTGCACGTTCTCTCTGTGCCTGCGTGGGTTCTCTCCAGGTGCTCCGACTTCCTCCCACAGTCCAAACACATGCAGCTTAGGTTGACTGGAGACTCTAAATTGCCTATGGGAATGTGTGGCTTTATGTCAGACATAACACTGCATTCCATGTAGCATTTTAGTGAAACGTTGTTCAAATTTACATCATCAACACAACTAGAAAAGTGGGGAGTTGTTCAGCAATCAGAGTGTAACAGGAAATTTCTCTCGTGTCTCATACAACTCATGGTTACCTCATAGCGTTCTGTGTGTGAAGTATCTAACACTGAATACAGTAAGATAGTGGCCAGAACATTAGTACTGTATCAATATTACTGGGAAAAAACATTCCTCTGTATAATTTGCTTGTGTTACTGCAGATACATCTGGTACAAGACAACATTAAACATATGTATGTATCTCTAAAATGTAAACTTCTTTACTTAACATTATGTCACTGCAATGCCACTGAAAACCACAGGCTCTATGGGCTCTATATTCCTTATTAGTTCTGGAGCCAGTTATTACTGCTGAGCTGCCACATATAACCTAGTTTCACAGACTGTGCAAGAGGGACAAAGAGTAACCTTGAATTTGTTTTGATTTTCACTTTGCCCTTAACGGTGGAAAATTAGAGGGAGACATTAGTTGGTTAGTCTTCACTCTGGCTAATCCAAACAGGCACAGAGGTGGCGGGACCTTTCCCTCTGTCACTCAATGCAGCCATGGTCTTAATTGTTTATGACTTTTAGTCTCAGTATAATTAAACGGGCGAGTTATACAAAGATCCCCCCGAAATTGTCACAGAAGGGGTAAATAGCTATAGAGACCAAAGCCATTTCATGTACCGGGCTGTAAATATGTTTATTTCTGCTGTAAAATTGGGCATTGTAACATGGGAGTCTATGGGGAATGAGTCCCTTTTGAAGCCAGCCTCAAGTGGAAGTTTGAGGAACTGCAGGTTTTAACACTGCTGCATTGGCTTAATTTCTCCACCTTAGAGGATGCTGCTTGGTTTAAACACAATTATGTGTAGCGGGCAGTAGTGCCCAGCACACAACATTGAACTTGGGATGTCTTTTTTTTTTTTTTTAAAACTAGTTCTCATATTTTAGAGGCAAAACGATTAATGAAAATTGAGTTTGTTTGTTTATTTTGCTCAGGTCACCTTCCCATCCACCCCTTCTCCACAGACACCGTCTGCCTTGCCTGGAACTTCGATGAGCTCCTGGCCATCATACGCTCCCACAGCAGTGTGGTGTGTTTCATAGCTGGACATGACCATGACGGTGGATATTGGTGTGATAAAGATACAGGAGTGCACCACCTGACATTAGAGGGAGTGATTGAGACTCCACCTAACAGCAACGCCTTTGGCACAGTCTCTGTCTATGAGGACAGAATGGTGCTAAAAGGGAGCGGGAGAATCCCAGATAGAGTGTTTCTATTCCCAGGATGCCAAAGTGACACCGTATGACATGTTCAGAGTCATCGATTAGAGAGGCATTTTCTGTTTTAGTTTCAGTTTCTTATTCAGGTTATGTAATGAAATCACTTTACTTGCCATTCTTTTAATTATATTTAAAGGGCAAGCAGGATTATTGTAAAGTAATGGAAACTAGTGTTTTTTTAGATGCGGTCTGTTATGTCCACATGGCTCAGCAGAGCAGTTACCTCAAAAAATGTATTGCACTTATGGTTGTGTTTTTTTTTTTTTTTGTTTTGTTTTTTTTAAATCCAACAAAAGTATATTTATTTTATACACTTTTTTTAAAGCTGGAAGTTGAATGATAAAATGTGCATTTTGATGCAAGAATGTTTCAGAATGAACTAATTTTCTCTGGGAATTACTGTCTTTTGCATGTTTATTGCACATAACATTCTTGTTGTGCTGTCTGGTAAGCACTGTATGGTGCAATGCAGCAAGAAAGTTGATAGTGTATTGTATCGCTAACTTCTGTATAACTTATATATTGCATAGTGATAATATGTATGATTCTGCCTGAAATAATGGCTAAATAAAGTGCATTTGAGTTTAGATTTGATGGGTCCTGACTTTGGCATCACCCTTAACCCTGGTGGTGCCAAGATAAAATATATTTTATATGATTTGTGTGGTTAAAAAAAAGACAGTAGGGACAAAAAACTAAGATTATGACCAAAGATAACTAAAACATAAATAGTAGCAAAGGGAGTATTGTAAACTGTAGGATGAGATTAGTTAAAGCTAGATTTAAGAATCTTAACTCAAGGTCTGTTTACTAATCTTTCCAAGGATTTTGTCTTCAGTGGTGTATGGAAATACAATAACAGGTAGTTGACACTCAATAGATAGACACACTCACATGTGTAGCCACTAAACTCCATTCACTGGTCAAGACTATGAAATGCAGGTAATGGTTCTGATTAATCTTGAGTTTGGTTTTGTCAAATCACTATTTGAACAAACCTTCATGGCAAATGCTATACATGATTATTGTTGACATCATCACACATCTAACAGTGGCATGACTACAACTGTGAAATGTAAAACACATTAGTACAGGGTGATTCAGATACCAAAAATCATGCAAACCAGGAGTTACAAAGCTATGGCAACACAGTAAATTACAGGAGTATGTCTACGGCTCTGTTCAGTATTTTGTTGAATCACATTGGATAAAAGAGAATGAGCTAATACAATAGGACACAGAAATATGAGATCAAGAGGGAGGTGTAATTTGTAGACTGTACGCAGATTTGCATAAACGCTAGAAACATGACATTCCGCTTTGAACTCGTGATAGGCTGTATTTCTGACACACCGTGAAGGCAGCAACGGCACAGACGTGGCTGCGGTGCAGCTGCTGCGTTCAAGTGGCGCAGTGTCCTGTCTGGAGGTAGAGAGGACGAAGTTTCTCTGCATTGCAGCCAGAGTGCTGCTGCCGGAATCTAACACCACAATGGCGACTCCCAGTCCTGACAGCAACTCTACAAGCTCCAGCAACAGCAGCATCGTAGGATCCACGTCGCACCAACTTCACCAGCAGACACAGAGCAGCAGCATGCAAGGTTTGGCAATAATGGCCTTTATTCCATATTTCAACTGGAGACATTGAAGTTAGGAAAATATAGCATGAAGCCTCCTAGAAGCTGAAACACCATAGTTAAGACAGACATAGTTATCCGTTTCCGGTGCGAACTTTCACAATAAAATACGCATTGTAGTCCACAGCAGATGTAGATCAAAACAAACACTTCATGTTTGTGAACGTTCTGTTCATGTAAATGCAAACTGCAGACTTTGGACTGGTTTTGCTATACAAGGTTATGAGTTGAACTGACAAATCAAAGCAATGTATTAATGCTAGAAAACGGACAAGGTATTTTTGCAGAAAATTAGCCAAGGCTGTGAATGAGCACGGTCAACGCTACATGTACGGTTGTTCATCATTTTCTCGGGATTTGTTGACAAACTCATCCCGACAAAGCAGTTTCGTATTCAGGCACAATATTACATTTGTGAGTGATGATATGATAGCTACACACATTAAACATAAATATTATTAAGTATGCTATCCACAGACTACAGCTGCTGTGAAAGTTTGCTGTCGTTAATGCAGAGTTTTGAATACAGCGGTGTTACGGCTGTAGTGCAGTAGCTCGGTTGTCAACACTTAGGCCTTTATTTTGAAGGATGAACTGCGCAGGTTCCGTTACAGCTCTGGCTTTATTTGCCTAGTTTTACGTAGCTTGTTCCCTGAAACTACAGGCTAGCGGGTTAGCAGTGAACATACAGGCCTGTAGTGGCACAGTAAGGTTCATAATGCTGGAGTTTGATAATTACAAAACCTAAACCATAAAGTGTGACCTTTTAACGTTTAATTCGATAAATGTCTGCCCACCGGTTTGAGTAGGACCTGGCTGCTACATGTACCACCAAGGTCCACATTGAAATGCTTCTCTGTACTTAGCCAGGCCACCGCTGACTGTAGGAAGAAAATATACAAATGATACAGTTAAATATAGCTAAGTCAGCGTTCCCACATTTCTGCTTAAATCCATTTGATGTGCTTGAGTCGTCTGACAATGTCACCGAGTTCCTTTTATTGCTTACTATTTTGTTGATACTGTTTCTGTCGAGATTTCAGCTCGTTTCAGAATATGATGGCATGAAATAAACGCCCTAGTATTTCACTACTACTGTACTGAAAGAGCTCGTCTGCAGTAACGTGACGGGATGTGCGTAAATTTCTAAGATAGATACGATGCAACTTGTACACAATCTGAACCATTATCGGACGAGCAGCCAAGCCTGGTCGAGGCCAAAACCCATATCTAGCTAAGAAATGTTTAACTATTTCTATTCGACGATTTCAGTCACAGCTGCTCTTAATACAAGGTAGCCAATTAACTTTACAGCAGTATCCGCTCACGCAAGTCATTATATAAACTGGCAGTCGTGTTGGCCTATCCATTGGTCTGCAGCTGTATTTTCTTAAAATGTTGCAGATGTCTAGTATCAATTGTTTTATCTAAACCTTACAGAAACCAATACCTGCTGGAGATGTCAAAACGAAACAGGTATTCACACTTACTTGCCTGGGTTTTAATCTGCTGTTGGAGGATATTTTTATTTGCATTGTGTTTGTTTAGTACACATCTTGTTATAGGAATTCCTTCAAATATTCCCTATCCACCCCATTGATCATTTTTGTTGTTGTAATGTCATTTTACTTTCTTTTTTTGTGAAACCTGCATTTCTTTCCCCCCCTTATATGCATGTTTTATTCAAGTTTCCATAGGCTATTAGAATGACCAGCGTGTGTCTATATTTTTGTCCTCTCCAGCTATATACATGAGAGGGTCAGAATATTAGGAACACCTCTGAATACAATTGAGTCCAGTACAACACCACCTTTAACTATGACCTCAATAATAAATATAGAATTGAATTTATACATTTATGACAATGTCACAAAAAGCTGAAACATTTTGAGCTTCAGAAATACAGATGTTAAGGTGGAAGTGTTGCATTGAAGGGCATAGAATTGTACAGGTGTGCCTAATAAAGTGGCCAATGAGTGCATCTTTGCATATGCCACTGTTGATGATGGTATGGTACTGCTGTGTGCCACTTATAAACAGTTTGTCTCAAGTGTGTGCTGTATGCCACTTTTCACCAGTGCCATAGGCCCATTCTTAGTTTTGTGCTACTTTGACTGTTGGCATACCACTGCTGTTTGCCTAGTATATGACATTTCAAAATAGGTTGGTATTCATGATCCACTGGCAGCTGCCACTCCCTACTGGCAAATGACAATTCTTACAGGCATATCACATTGCTGTAGTAATGGTATGCCTCATATGCAGCGATGGGGTTCCCAGGATTTATTCCACATCTTATGGTAAAAATATCAAATCAAATTTATATATATAGCACTTTAAAAACAACATCCAGTTGACCAAAGTACTTTACATAGACAGAATAAAATCACAATAAATAACTAAAATAAAATAGATTCAGTGCAAAAATAAAACAACTCAGACACACAGATGATACACATATAATAAATTAGATTAAAATGAATGCATCAGGCCCTACTGTGTATTAAAAGCCAAGGCAAATAAGTATGTTTTAAGCAAGGTTTGAAAGTAGTCAGGTCAGTAGCTGATCTAACATTAGAAGGTAGACTGTTCCACAATTTAGGGGCTGCAACAGTAAAAGCACGATCACCCCAGCGTTTATATCTGGCCCTAGGAACCTCTAAAAGAAACTGGTTTGAAGATCTGAGGGACCTTGTAGGTTTGTGCCAATGCACTAATTCGGTGAGGTAAGATGGTGCAAATCAAAAATATCAACATAATTCCCCATTGGCAAACAGCTGGCATTAATAACCAAAATATGTTAAGGGCTACGCTCACGATGTTAGTTGTACAGGGCTAAAAATTGTCACAGCAGCTATCTAATAAGTAGCTGGCCACTAGCTTATTTTCAGCCCATAGTAATAAGCTCAGGCTCCATTTGTTTAGGAAGAGATGGAGCTGAAACTTGTATATCAAAAAACAGACATAGAGCCAAGTCAGATTCACATTACCACATCACATAGCTAACACTAAGCTAACTTAGTTCGTTGCTGCAGTCTGAGGCCTTTTTTCAGGTCACCCTCCAATTTCTTGGTAGCAGAAGGCAGAGATATAATCACATCTTGTTAACTACACTTATTTGCTTTTTGCTGACAGTTACATGTTTGATAGAATACAAAGCTACTGTCTGCAGCTGGCTAACTTAAACTTAGCACAAAGACTGGGAACATCTGTCCAAAGGTGATCAAATCCACTGGCCAGCACCTTTAAAGGTTTCTAACCATGTTATATCTTGTTTATTTAATAATCTGTTCATATCATGGTATTAGAAATAAGGTGGATAGTGTTCATGGCATCAGTGACAGACTATCAGGATTATGCTCAAGTACAGTTTTATGGCAAAAGCCACCATTTTTCCATGGTATGTGCTGATTAAAAAGTGGAACTTGTCAGCGGAACAGATAACATGCTGTTTTTATGTGGCACATTACAGCAGTGTACCAATAACTAGCAGTGGCCTGTGCCAGTGGAACATGACTGATGTACAGTACTGTTTATAAACTGCCAGTAGGACAGCAGCAGCACACCAATAGTCAACAGTGACTTACTGCTCAGATAAAACAAGAGCGGCATCCCACAAGCCACTTTTTGATCTCAGTGTCACTTATTTTTGTTTAAACCTCAGTACAATTTATGCGAAATGTTACTGAAGTGATGACTGCAGGGGGTGATGGAGAAGAACCAAAACATTCAGTCACTCTAAAGCACCCAGCTATTGGGCTATGGACTAAACCTGTTCAAATTGACCTGCTCCTCGTTCTGCTGGGAATACAATGGAACCTCATCAACTTAGACAAACAGCTGCATGGCAGTGCACTGACCCAGACCCACCAAAATAATGGTGTTTCCTGTGCCAGCTAAAGCATATTCAGAGTAACATGCCCTGTTTTCCACTTTTAGCACTGATTCTTGCTGGGATGGTACTTGTTATTAATGACCCAGTCACACTTAAATAAGCCCTAAGAACATGTAGTAAAATATTTTTTCTTTACTTCAGGGTTTCAGATAAGCCTGTCTGGAGTTTCCCAAAGTAAGCAATAGACTCGCACACAAAGCACATTGACCTCTCCAGTTTGTGGGTACACCATAGTCTAAAGTGGTTTCCTTCACTCACTGCCTTTCAGCTCAGCCATGCTGCTGCCTACTGACTGATCTGCTTTGTTACTCAGCTCCAGATTCTTGATGTGTTTGTCACGCTCATATTGAATTGGATGAACCAGATGAAAGGAAGCCACTGTACACTATCGGAACAGCCTGTGTGGTGCTCTGGTAGTTGGGGAGTCTATCCACTGCTATGAACTGTCACAAATTCAGTTTTGGGCAAGAATGATTAATTTTCACCAGGGTTTAAAGGTTAAGGGATCTGTTTGCACTCAAGAACTGGATGAACAGGGGCATGGCAAAGAGGACCCAACACTTAAACCCAGCACTTTGCATACCAGTTACGTATATTCTAGAGGTTCATCATGTTAGAGCCACTCATAGGCCACTCACCGTGAATCAACCTAGCTGTAACATAATTTGAGTGTAATTCTACTGAATCAAGTGCTTTCTAAGTGTTGGGTCACTTTGATATCACAAGAGAACTGCTCATTTTTACAACGTTCTTAATGGGAATGTTTTGGACAGGGATTCCCATTGTCAGTATCCTGCAGTAAGGGTATTTTTGGTTCCAATGCAGCAACTTCAATATAAATAATCTGAATAAATATTTTATGAAAAGGTATTCTGTAATGCCAAAAAAAACTGGTGCAGTATCTGAGTATTGGGAACCCGTGTATACGTGGGCACTTTGCTTCAATTCAAAATGCATTTTGTGCTTCCTCTAATCTTGAGATGAGCTGGAGATAACCCAAAGGTCAGTCTGTATACAAAAACAGTTCTCAGTAGCTTAAATCTTTAATTCATGTTGATGCCACAGTTATCCTATACTCTAGTGGCCTATTATAATTGTCCAAAGCACCGTTATGTGCTGATACTTGAGTCATATGAATTTTTGTTTGGCATAAATGTCTACTTATTCCACAAGTACAGTAAAAGCTTATCTCAAGTATGTAACAACAGATGTTACGGAGGCAAAACTGGCATTTTATCACACTGTGTGGATCCTCTGTTTGCACCAGTTGGTCAAACCCACAGTGTGTGTGCATGTTGTGGGAACCTGGATCTGTGTCTCTCTTTGTCCTGTCAGGTAAACGTAAAGCTCTGAAGCTGAATTTTGCCAACCCTCCAGTGAAACCAACCTCAAGGCTCCCGCTCAATCCAACAGCTCCATCTTTCCACAACCCTCACATGTGAGTAGACACTGTCGGGATGGGCTATCACTGCAGTTATGCTCTCAGGTTTTTATCTCAGATATTACATTTTGACCAGTGTGTCCTGTTTTTCAGCAGGTCCAAGGAACAATCAAGTTGCAAACTACTGAAACTGATTTTGATGCTTTACAGCTGCATCCAGTAGCTTAGGGCACCCTGTGGAGTTACGTTTCCATTTGCTTTTTAATAAACAAAGCATATTTTGTGGATCACAGAGGTCTAAGAAACATAATGAATGCATTTTCTTCATCATTAAACATTTGCAGGGCTGATTTTATTTTTCATTTGGACCAATTTCACATCTCCATCCATGTTAGCTTACTAGCAGTCTTGTTGCTTCGCTTTATTGACACACTGCTTCATTTTTCGACATGCCATCAAATGTTGATCACTGGAATAGCAGGAAATTGTTAGGACTGTATAATAGCATATGTGCACATTTTTGTGCACTTGCATCATCAGAATCAGTGGGGTACAAAACCCCCATGGGACCACTGTTGCCACCTTATATACAAATTATTAATAGTGTTGTTAAAATATCCAATACAACATCACAACAGTATAAAACGTGTTGACAGGATGAGGATAAATCTAAAGAAGGCAGTAACAGTGAACAAGTTCAATATTTGTAGGCATCTCAATACTACAACATGGTGCTCCACTCTATCTGGTAGGCACAGCAAGAACAGCCTATGACCTCTGTTCCTACTAATACTACAGTATAAGGTAACATTAATACACAGCTGATGTCCAACAAGTTAGTTTTCACCCAGCATTAGTGAGAAACTGAAAATAACCCATCTAATAAAATGTGAGTGAAATGTGAAACTGGTTGGTCATCTAGTCTTTAACCTGCAGGCCTACCAAGCTAGAGATATCGTATGTGTTTAGGTTTAAGTTAGTACATGCATCGCCTTTTCATTCTCACCTCCTTTTGTAACTTTAAATAAGAAAGCTCAGATTTCAAAGCCAGAAGCTCTGGGATTACTAATTAAATATTAACCATACCTGTGACAAGCTAGAATGCACATTCTACTCATGGCTCTACATTGTTTCTGTCTCTCTCCTTCCCCTTCCTGTGACCTCTTCCTCTATCCTTTATATTATACATCTCCACGCTCCTCCAGAGAGCGCCTGCGGACACACAGTATCGAGTCTTCAGGGAAACTGAAGATCTCTCCAGAGCAGCATTGTGACTTCACTGCTGAGGATCTGAGAGACCTTGGGGAAATTGGTCGTGGAGCATACGGCTCCGTCAACAAGATGGTCCACAAACCCACGGGCCAGATCATGGCTGTCAAGGTGACCTGTTACACCAACAGACATGCCTTACCTCATCCAGAACACAGCTCATGTATCCATAATCCCATTCCACGTAAACGCAATAGTCCCATGACAATGTAACCCTCATACTATTGATTCCTTGACTGTGAAAATCTACCTAGCATGTGGAATCACATTGATATCATTATTAGTTTTACCTCTGTACCTTTTAAAGATATGTCAGATCTGTTGGCACTCTACTGGAACCTTGAATAGTGGTGTAACAGACAGAGTAGGATGGTAAATGGTCTTATACTTGTATAGCACTTTTCTATGCTTTACAGCACACTCAAAGCGCTTTTACACTACTTGGCCATTCACCCATTCGCACTCCCAAACACTCACACACCGGTGACATCACCGGGAGCAACTGGGGATTCAGTGTCTTGCTCAAGGACACGTCGACACGTTGACTGGACAAACCGGGAATTGAACCGCTGATCCTCCAGTTAGGAAACGACCCGCCCCACCTCCTGAGCCACAGCCGCTCACAAGGACATGTGAATAAGTCAGAAATGTAAATGTATTGTTGCCTTGACTGTCCCACAGAGGATTCGCTCCACTGTGGATGAGAAGGAGCAGAAGCAGCTACTGATGGATCTCGACGTGGTGATGAGGAGTAGTGACTGTCCCTACATTGTTCAGTTCTACGGCGCTCTCTTCAGAGAGGTCTGACAAACCCTCCCAGTCCTCACAGTCTTGTGTTTGCTCATGCTTTACATTTTAAAATGATCTGTGTTTAGTTGTAACTGTTGCACATTATGGAATCTGTCATTATGAGTAAGATGTAAAGTATCACTGTAAACTTCTTGATGGTCAGTCCCTACAGATTCCAGCACAAAGTGTAGATGTTATTGGAAAGTGAGTTTAACTGAGGAAACTAACATATGACTCTTGGTTTCAGGGGGACTGTTGGATTTGTATGGAACTTATGTCTACCTCATTAGACAAATTCTACAAATATGTATATTGTGCATTAGATGACGTCATTCCAGAGGAAATATTAGGCAAAATAACATTAGCGGTTAGTAGATGATTCTTTTTTTACTTCCCCACTTTTGATTTCAGTGCATCTTTAAAAAATGACCAGAAGTGATAGAAGTGTTTTACTTTGTCTCCAACAGACCGTTAAAGCACTGAACCACTTAAAAGAAAACTTGAAAATAATCCACAGAGGTAAGTTTTTTATGTTGTCTGTGAATTTTGCTTCATCAGTATTTATACCCCAGCTAAACTGCTGAGTCTCTGTCTTAGGCTCCACCCTTTTATAACCTAACTCACCTAGCAGAGAAAGCTAACTTGGCTACAAATCCTGTACAACCAACCACCATGGGGCAGACTTTAACTTTCCAGCCATGGTCATCTGCCTCCATGGCTAACTCTGGGCATTTCAGTTTCTTCTTCTCATACGCTGTATCTACAGTGGCCTCCCATGGAACTGTAAGCTTGATAAAATACGTAGTATGCCAGGCTTCTGACCACAACACAAGGTCTGGTCTGAAGTTAGTGCTGACTGTCTCCTCGAGAGCTATGAGCTGATTCCCTAATCCTCAATCCTATCATTACTTTTTGAGTTATGTTATGAACAAATAAACAAACAAACCAATCTCTGGCTCCCCAGTTCTCTGCACCAAGTGTTCACTGAGCTAGCAGGACAAAAGAAGAATCATGTGTTGAAACACATCACTGACATTGTTAATGCGTCTTGTAAGTCACCAAACAACTGTCTTGCCTTATCAGAGCATGTAAATGATGTAAATCTGCTTTATTCGCCTCAGCAGGGGACTCATAGATTGATCACATTGTATTTACACCAATTCGAAGCTTCACTTTGTTGTGTTGTTGGTTTTACAAGCTGGAAAAATAGAAACAAGCTGCCCGATCAGTCATGGTCAGTCAGTTTGATTATCAGAAGTTGGGCCCACACTGATCCAATAGAGTCATACTGTTTCTACTGAGCCACCGGACTTGTCTCAACAATGGCTGTGATCACCACACGCTGGTTAAGCAATCCAACATCCCTCAAAATTGACATTATATAGTGAGACATATATATTAACTGAGATTTTATTAGCTGCATTTTGCCCTTGTGTTGGCAGCAAAGTGAAAATGACTTTGTCAAAACAAGTGTTAATGAGGGATTGAATCCATCACAGGAACCTTGAATAGTGGTGTAACAGACAGAGTAGGATGGTAAAAGGTCTTATACTTGTATAGCACTTTTCTATGCTTTACAGCACACTCAAAGCGCTTTTACACTACTTGGCCATTCACCCATTTGCACTCCCAAACACGTCACACACCAGTGACATCACCGGGAGCAACTGGGGTTCAGTGTCTTGCTCAAGGACACCTCGACACGTTGACTGGACAAACCGGGAATTGAACCGCTAATCCTCCAGTTAGGAAACGACCCGCTCTACCTCCTGAGCCACAGCCGCTCACAAGGACATGTGAATAAGTCAGAAATGTAAATGTATTGTTGCCTTGACTGTCCCACAGAGGATTCGCTCCACTGTGGATGAGAAGGAGCAGAAGCAGCTACTGATGGATCTCGACGTGGTGATGAGGAGTAGTGACTGTCCCTACATTGTTCAGTTCTACGGCGCTCTCTTCAGAGAGGTCTGACAAACCCTCCCAGTCCTCACAGTCTTGTGTTTGCTCATGCTTTACATTTTAAAATGATCTGTGTTTAGTTGTAACTGTTGCACATTATGGAATCTGTCATTATGAGTAAGATGTAAAGTATCACTGTAAACTTCTTGATGGTCAGTCCCTACAGATTCCAGCACAAAGTGTAGAGGTTATTGTAAAGTGAGTTTAACTGAGGAAACTAACATATGACTCTTGGTTTCAGGGGGACTGTTGGATTTGTATGGAACTTATGTCTACCTCATTAGACAAATTCTACAAATATGTATATTGTGCATTAGATGACGTCATTCCAGAGGAAATATTAGGCAAAATAACATTAGCGGTTAGTAGATGATTCTTTTTTTACTTCCCCACTTTTGATTTCAGTGCATCTTTAAAAAATGACCAGAAGTGATAGAAGTGTTTTACTTTGTCTCCAACAGACCGTTAAAGCACTGAACCACTTAAAAGAAAACTTGAAAATAATCCACAGAGGTAAGTTTTTTATGTTGTCTGTGAATTTTGCTTCATCAGTATTTATACCCAATAGTGGCCTTGCTGGAATGTTGAGTTTTTCGTGAACATCTCTTAAAAAGGCCTTGGCAATATCAAAATGCTCATATTGGAATTTGTGAAAACTTGCATCCAGAACCTGAAATCAGACAAATTTAGTGAATTTCACATTGAATGAGTCCTTTTCCGTCATTGTAGACATCAAACCTTCCAACATTCTAATGGACCGAAAGGGTAATATCAAGCTGTGTGATTTTGGCATCAGCGGTCAGCTGGTGGACTCCATAGCCAAGACCAGAGATGCAGGCTGTAGGCCTTACATGGCGGTAAGAAACGAACATATTTCAGCAGTGTTTTTATACACTTAAAGGTACACAGCTGAATCAACACCTCTCTGAAAAAGTTGGAACAAAAACTGAACGCTGTCACCCTCATGCAGGAGGATTTATTTCAGGAGTGTTAGATTAGATGGACTTAGTTTTAGCCTAAAGACCCATTCTTTTCAAAATTTGTTTTTCTTGTTTTTAAACCCCAGAAATGCCTGCCATCCACTATACTGACTGCTGTACAGTTTGTATATACTTTATCACTAACAGGCTGTTTTTATATTTTTCTGCTAAAGGGGGCGGGTGTCAGTGTGCATCCCTGAAAGGTTCAAAGGTGGACAGGCATACAGAATTTATGACACCACAAACCTGAAGATATCTGCAGGTTTCAGGAGTGTGGTGAGAAACCTGAAACCTCTGGTCTCAGAGCAGCCAGAAGTAACTTTTCAGTGATCAGATAAACCTGAGTGTTCAGTTTATGGATGTAAACAGGACCCGGAGCTTCTTTCCACAGTTTATTTATTTACTGTTTAATGTTATCTTAGGTGAGACATGTACCATTGTTGGGGTATTAAAAGCTATGTTTGCAGTAGCTTAACTGACTGCTAACATTTAGTCTATTGCTCTGACCCAGTCTTCTGGTTTTATGCTGTAGATAATGTTTTGGATCGATTGAGAAACGATACTGACATGCTATCAAACTCTCAGCCAGACTGTAAATACATCTGCGCATTTAGACTGCTATTATACAGTTAAGGCTCCATATTAACAATGTAAAACCACTACAGCTGTGTTAGCCACCAGTCACAAGCTAACAGCTAATGTTATACAAAATCAAGATGTTAACTACACTTAACAGGCATCTGCCAATCGCTGATTTGGTGACGAACAGGCTCCAGACCAGAGTCGGGGTCTGAGCGAAATTCAAACATATCCCACTGACACATTGCAATTTTCCCTCCTGTCATCATATCCTAATGCACAGTGATTTCACTGATCTATCTGCTGGAGACTGCTTGATGCCTGGGATCATTGGGATATATTTTACTAGCCATGAATCTTGGAATTTACAATGAAAGGCAAAGACCAGACATGTTTTTAGGCCCTTGTCTGAGTTTTATTCAACATTTGTGTGAAAACTCTGTTAAAGTATATACTGTTCATAACAGAGTATTTGTATATGCCTTAAAACATCTCTGGAGGGGATCTTTTAAGCTTGATGTGGTTGTACTAACCTCAGGTGCTGTATTTTTCTCCACATCCTCTTGTCACAGTGCAGCAGCAGGAGGGAAAATATATCCACAAAACCTGGTGCAGTCAAAAAATTCCACTTTTACATTGGCACTGGTGGATGTCAGGCAAGCTCACATGAACGCAGAACGTCCTGGAGATTATGACCATTCAAGGAAATCCTTAAACTATCATGTAATACTTTATTTTGGTAGAAAAAAAGTTTGCAAGCGAGCATATGCGAAACGTGTAAAACACATAGAAATACTAGAACATATGTACACCTCGTTTTTTGAGCTTTAGGTCATGACTAAGATGATAATGCACCATTGTAACATTGTAAATAAGTCAGAAAACAAGGAAAAGCATGCCATGGGCCCTTTAAAGTGGAAAACAAGGCTCAAGTTTCCATGCCAGTAAACTGCATCTTTGCCAGATTCCACCTCTGCCCTCTATGTGGACAGGGCAAATAAAAATGGCCCTTCTAGGGCTCAGAGAAGTATCTCAGTATCAGAGCCTTTATTTGTGCGTTTTCAGCCTGAAAGGATAGACCCCAGTGCTTCCAGACAAGGCTATGATGTCCGCTCTGATGTGTGGAGTCTGGGAATCACCCTGGTAAGACTAATAATTTTGTCAGCTTGAACTATGAAACATTTGTTGTTTGTACCATGTGTCTGAGTAAGGTTGAATCTACTTTTGCTGCAATGGGATCAATCAACTCAGTCTCTTAAAGCCCCTGGTTTGTGTTTGCTTTCAGTACGAGCTGGCCACAGGAAGGTTTCCGTACCCCAAGTGGAATAGTGTTTTCGATCAGCTGACACAAGTGGTGAAAGGAGAGCCTCCTCAGCTCAGCAACTCGGAGGAGAGGCAGTTCTCCCCCAAGTTCATCAACTTTGTCAACCTATGGTAAGCACCAGAACATTCAGGCACACATCTGCTAACATATGAGAGGCTTCTGTGTAAAATACAGCACACATGGCTGAGTATTAAAGTTCTCATTTGGCCTCGGAAATTGTAGTCTGAGAAAAACAAATTAACATCCACTTCCTAGCGTTTTCCAGAGCTACTCATCTTTTTAATATGCATTTACAGTATAGATAAAACAAAGATAATAGAAAACGGTCAGTTTAATTTTAAGAATTATCTTGGGACTCATCCAGAACTGAACAGTTCAGTAGTTGGTTTCAGTTGCTTCTGTTTCTGGCCATATAACATGGAATTCTTGCCCCTCCCCCCAGTGCTGATGGTGTTTGATAGTTTTTACTCCTTTTCTTTTCAGCCTTACAAAGGATGAATCAAAAAGGCCAAAGTACAAGGAGCTTCTGGTAAGTTCTCGTACAGTCCTTTGGCTTTTACATGCATTTCCCACATCACTAAAGATCACTAAAGATCTACAACACATGCACATGTTCTGAGTATCTTAATGTTGCTGTGACTGGTGTTGAAAAAGGTCATAAAAAGGCCACGGTGCTGCAAGAGCTAAACAGTTTATGCAGAGTCAGTGGATCAAGTAAGAATAAGAATTATCACCCACTTGTGCAGGTGCGACTCTACGGGGCCTTCGAGCTTAGACTGGCTCACTGGTTTTGTTATCCTACCATCAAACTCAGTTTGCAGCAGCATGAGGAAGCTGTTTTCACTGGCACAGGAAACCTATTGTACACCATTTTAGCCATTGTATACATCATTTTAGCAATAAGCTGCTAAATATACTGAGGTGTCTAGCAAGCTAAATTTGCTAGTGAACAAAATATTTTATTTAAGAAATAGAAGTGACCAAAACAAAGCTAAAAGGAGAGACTGAATATTTGTCTTGGATGTCTCAGGGGCCTAGAAATGGGTGTCCAAATCAGTGTACGCTGAAGGTATAAATGGTTTGCTAACCCTTTTGCTGTAAGAAATTTATAAGGTTATAACATGATGGGATTTAGTTTTTTGTTTATTCTGCTGTCCCCAAGTGGCAAAAAAAAAGAATCAGTGTCAATTTTGCTACAGCTACAAACATATATTGTGTGAGGATTTGGGATATACTGTGTCTCAAATGAGCTGGAACACCGACTATGTAAAGTTCTGTGTATGTTTCCCTCAGAAACATCCCTTCATTCTGATGTATGAAGAGCGTTTCGTGGACGTCGCCAGTTACGTATGTCGCATCCTTGATCAGATCCCCACCTCTCCCATCTCTCCTATGTATGTGGACTGACTGAGTTAAGCGGGGTGGGTTGGTAGGTTGGTGGGGGGTGACGAAGCTTTGTGATGTGTCGCTTTGACATCTTAGCCCCCAGAGTTGGGTAGAATCACCTGTATATTCACATGTTCCCAGAACAAAGGAACAAAGTCCAATTTGCCCAGTGCAATGAGGTAACAGCAAAGCCTCCCACCTCCCATCACCTCATGTAAAGAAAGTGACGCCCAAAATATTATCATCCATTTTCAGCCAGAAAAACTTGAAGACATAACATTGTCTTAGTAAAAAGCAATGCATCTTTTTATGTGAGGAAAAATGAATAGAGTATACATATATTGTGTATATATATACTTGAACGCATTGTAAACAAATACAGAATCTACCAAATAAAATGTTGAACAGCAATGCTTATGACATACGAACAAAAATAGCCACCTGTTTGATTATACATTGTGTACTGTATGTATGCATATGTGTGTTCATTGATATATACTGAGAGACCTATTGTCTAAACACACATGCACACACTCTTTTTACACAGTTTGCTGCCGGCACCTTCACTCATGGTAAATGAATGAGTATGCAAAAGTGTTTCCGTCTGGAAAGCTCGTGAAAATGGTAGTGTGGCTTTATTTTTTTTTATGCAATCTGTGAGAGTTTGTATTGACATGTGACTGGGACAAGATAGATCTGTCACATCCACTAGTAGCCCCAGCCCATACCTTCCATGTATTATCATTACATTCAAGTCAAAGCGCTAAACATCTGGTTTTCCAAAAGATAAATCCCTGGCAAGCTTTCAGAAGTCCAGTAGGTCACTTAACAATGCTTAGCACAGATTGAAAGGTGTTTGCAAAGTCCTTAAAGCATCTGTCCATGCAGATTATATTCTGTACACTCCACAACTGGGGAAAAAGCAAACAAAAAAATCATTGACCCTTGTCTGACATTACAATCCAATTTCCCAGTCCAAAAAAAAGATGTTAGTTGGAAATATACAGTTGTTCTTCAGTGGCATTATAGTTAATTTGAGTCCATAAATATTAAACTGATCAAATCTCCTGAAAGCACTGAAGAGGATTAGGGCCACTGTAAAGTTATATTATTTTCCTCAGAATTCCGACTTTAACGCTGACTTTTGCATCTCATGTCCACCGGGTGTGGCTGCATTACGTTCCATCTCCAGTGTGGTTTTGTCCCATTGTCTGTGCGGTTTCTTCCTCCACCGTCTGCATCTGCTGAGCGGCTCGTTGTGGTGCTGATTTTATGTGTAGGCTATTTTCCGTTGTTTTGGAGCTTGTACAATAAGTAGACTGTGTACTTACATTGCTTCTTTTTAGTCTGTTTTAATGGTGGTGGTTCTTATTTCCTACTTTGCTGTGTTGTACCCGAGCATACAAAGACTACAGTTAATGGTTAGATTTAATTTAACGGTTATGTTAAGTCGTTCCGAAACATGGGTCACAGATCTTGGCTGTGTTTTAGCTGCTAAAAATACCTTCATTATAATTATGTATGTTTTCCATACAGTGCCTGATTGGTGGGTGCAGCCTTGTCAGAAGCATCCCAGACCCGGCATCCATCAAAAATAGATTAGATCTGTATCTTTAGCCAATAAGTGCGGATGCATTAGAGACGGAAAGCAGCTGCACCCGGTGGAATCACACCCATTTACTAGACTGGCAGCAGTCAGCACCGACGACTGCATCGCAGATGCAGCAATGCAACACAGCCGCATCCGGTGGAAATCTGGAATTAAAAGTTTCAGAATTCTGAGAAAAGAGTAAGAACTCAAATATTTTACACTACATTGGTTAAAAAAACCTTTAATTGTGTTGTGGACAATATTTTTAAAATTCATATTGACAGAAGTGTTTGCAAATTCTTGAAATACTTCAAAACTGTGAAGAAGTGTTAAATAACCTTCTGCGTTTTTTGTTGATTTATCTTTTGGGGTGAAAAAGGTGCTAATTTCTAAGACTTCCATGTAATAATAATAGATGAGAGAACCAAACTGGGGCTAAGCCGATGCTACATTGCCTGATGTAAAGTTACTTTAGGACATTATGTCCCTCGATGTAAATGTGTATGTATATAGTACATCTAATCTGCTGTTCCTGGCAGGTCCTGCTTGACAGTTAAGGCTCAGATCTTAGAGAGATGATCAAGTCAAGCAGTGACATCTGTGTCCTGGGGGGCAGAAAGAAAATATGTCTGTATGTTTCAGTTTGAGAATGAGCCTTAATGCTCCTCAGCAGCCTGTCATAGCACTGTACAGTTCAACTACTCATCCACACTGATCACAGATCCACCATACTGCCATACAAAAACAAACAACACTAACGACAATGTAAAAGTCCTGGCTAAATGATACCTGTAAATGCTGCTAACTGACATGCTGTCCATCAACCACACAACTGTCAGGAGAGGAGGATAGTTACTGCTCTTTGACCCCTAAGGTCACATGAACTTAGCATGTTCCTCCGTGACTTGGCATGTTTTTCTGGCTTGCACTGATGACGGGATGTTTTCCCGCTGAACCATGCGTTATATTCATGGATGCAACTCCATAGTCTAAAATACAGTCCCTCACCTATCTTCCTCCACTGGCGCTGATATACTATTATACTGGGAGAGGTGAAGGGCAAGCTGCAACTTTGAGGCTACTGAGAGTCATCCTCCGCCATTCCCTCTGAGAAAGCCACATTTACCAAGCGGTGTCGCTTACCCGCAGAATAGACATTAGTGGGCAAACATCATACAGCTTGTATGGATCTGTATGGATGGTGGACCTTCAACACTGGGAGACTGTAGAGACTGTAATGTAATTATTTTACAGTGTATCCAGTCCAACGTAGCAAACACTAATAATGTAATGTGATTCAATGTGATATAGTTTATACGATAATAAACGAAGAATATACAGTAAGTTGAGGAAGGGGTTGTCACATAATTTAAGGTCCGTTGGATGATACTTTATGTCTGCTGGAGTATTACTCTTATTGTTATTCTTACAGTTTAATGTGGGGAAAAACTACTTTTAAATTTCTTTTCATCACTTGTGGATATTGTTACAGGTTTTTATTGTACTTGTGGTATTTCCCTCCATTATAGGCTTTATTACATTAAGTTTCATTACATTAAAGGGACACTCCAAATGATTTTAGTATTGTACTTTAATAAAGTTGGGAGTCTTGTAGAGGCAGATTGTTTGGCTTTTTTTTTTTTTTTTGGATGCAAAAGAGGCCAAAATATCCTGCCCTAGCAGCTGTTCATACAGCGTAAGATCGAACACAGAGAACTCATAATATCAAGGTTATTTTTTAGACGACTGTTTTAACAGGCTGATTCGTACATGATGAGTAAACCGAACTTCCTATAAAATCAGAGGAGGCCTCTACAGATGTTAGTCATGTTGGAAAATGGCCACAACTTTTGGCATTATTCGTTAAAGACAAATTTGTTGAATACTTGTGGCTTACTAGGGAAGGTGAAACATTACAGACGAGGCGGTGGAGATGCACTCTCCACAGCTCAGCAGGAGGATTCTGTCAGCCTTTAACTGTAATGCAAGATGGGGCAAACCCCTGAGAAAGCTCACAGTCTCATTTGACGCAACAGGAGGTGCTGTTTCACTGCAGAGTCTCTAGATCTGTTGTTCTATCATGGGAGGTTTGCAGGAAGCTAACTAACCACTGGTGAATAGGAACCTCCCGGGTACATGTTGTATAAATTGCAATTTACAAGAATGTTCATATTAGATTATAAGATAATATTAAGGGCAATGAATATTATATTGTATCTTTATCAAGGGTTACAAATAAAGTTCCCATGGAAAAGATTAAAACCCTGTATTGTGTGCTTCTTGTGAATTGGACATGAATAAAAAAGTAACTGTAGAAACGATTTTGCTGTGATTAGTTTATTGCTGTTCTACCTGTAGTATACAGTGATGCAAGCAAATACTGGTTTTTACAATAGTAAAAGCAAGTCAGTGGCCAAGCAACATGGAAGCTTCTGTCAGATGTGATGTTTCTTTTCTATTTTTTTCTTTTTTTATTAAGGAAATTTATTGCAAAATGAATCCAGATAAAACAAAATGTAAAAGGCCAGTAGATATTCTAACAACACAGGACAGAAAGTAAAGAATATCAGCTTTGTCTTAAGATGGACATTAATGGCTTACATTTAACCGTAGAATCCGTTTAGCAAGTGCAACGCATCATAAGTAACTTTTAAAAAAGCATTATTTGGTCAAAACAGAACACAAAGTGAGATCCAAGTTTACAAAGGACATAACTGCAAATGAAAGAAATGTATTGGTCAGTGCACTTAGAAAGAATTTGACATTTTGGGAAGTAATGTTTAAACTCACTTTCATGCCGAGAGTTACATGAGAGTTTTGACATTTGTTTGGTAAAAATGAAGCTGTAGCTAGATTTCCAACTCAGCTTAGCATAAAGACTAGACTAAGAGAGAAATAGCTAACCTGGCTCTGTTTGTAACAAAATTAGTGTTGGGGAGTACCTGGTTACATGTAATTAGTTAGTGTAATTACAAAATGTAATTGTAATCAGTTACAGTTACTGTGAAAAAATAATTAAATTACAGATAATCAAAGTATTGGTGATTACAAAGGGGTTACATCTATATCGGTTTTGGTAAAAAGCTATAGGGGTGGAACAGTGGTTAGCACTGTCACTTCACAGCAGGAAGGTCCTGGGTTCAAGCACTGGCCGATCCCATGCCTGTGTGGGGTTTACATGTTCTCCCTGTGCCCGTAGGAGTGTGTGTGGTGGTTTGTCTACATGTCAGCCCTGTGATAGACTGATGACCTGTTAAGGGTGGACCCTGCCTCTCACCCAATGTCAGCTGGGACTGGCTCCAGTCCCCCACGACCCTCTTCAGGATAAACAGTATAGATAATGGATGGGAAAAACTTATATGTGTTCTGTTGCTGTGCATTTTGTCATAATGCAGGAGTGTGTTATTTTAGTATACTTCCAGACAATGCAGTCCTGCAATGCTGTTGAAACAAATAATGCCATCATGGTTAGGATGGCATTATTTGGCCATTTGGCAACATACATTAAATTTTGAACATTGCTTTTGATTGGTTTGGCTTTGCACCACCCCTTGTCTGTCAATCAAATCATGGCACACTGCTCTATACAGCCTGGCTGTGACCAGGGAAGAACCTTTTTTCAGTGCTGGAAATTCAACTATATTTTCAGAAAATGGCTTTGCTTAGTGCCACTTCAGGAGGCTATGAGATTCAACAGTAATGTATTATGTAACTGAAGTTAGGTTGAGAGACTTTTAATAAAGGTTTTACAGTAACAGTAATAAGTGTTGAGTACTGTTGTGAGGTCACAATTTATGTTATGGCTTTTCAGCTTTATCTTACTTAAAAAAAAAAGTAATCAGAAAGTAATTAAAATGAATGTTACATTACTTGGAAGAAGTAATTAGTATTCTGTAATCTATTACATTTTAAAAGTATCTTTTTCAGCACTCCAGTTTTATGAAGATGATGCGCTGGTTTAAACTATTTAATTGTTGAGCTTCGTTGGAGCTGGTGACAGATAAGCTAACCAAGAAAATACATTGTCAAGGACAGTGAACAGCGGATAGACCTAGAGCTCACTGGCCTTAAGGCTGACATGGATCAAATAGAATTTTAAGTTAAAGGTGCAGTTCAGCAGATTTTGTTACTTTTGGACACAGCTGCGCTAATTGTTTCCTCATTTAAAATCTTTGTGTAATCTAACCTAACGAGCTACTGGCTGTACCCTAATGTTTAGCATGAGGTGTCAGTCTCCATATCTCTCAGCAACAAACCAAATAAACATATTTCTCAAAATATTAAATTATTCCTTTATGGTTTACTGTGTGAAAAACAAACAATTACTGGCCAAGTCTAAAACTTTAAAATGTGTTTTGAAATCCTCACATTAGGCTAACTACTGCGTGTCTAGGCTGGACCCGGTACATGTTTGTGCAGCATTCACAGTAAAGATCAGAATATATTACATTTTCATATTCACAAGTGCTAATAATGGACATTTCCACTTTTTAACTAAGAGTGGTTTAAGAAAGCTTTTCGAGGTGGTTCCTTCACTTTGCATCACATTTCTAAAGAGAAGTGATTTACAATGAAATGTCTGTGGTCAAAATGGTAGCACTGGAGTTTTCTGGTAAATCAAAAAGAGCCCCAATCTATTAGACAGGAATGTCAGTATAAATACAGGATACTTTATGCTGGATAAAGTATAAATATAAAAACATAAAATAAATAAACGTGATTGGCTTGGAAATGGAGTAAATTTCTTTAGGTAAAAAAAAAAAGTACTTAGAAGAGAAAACAGAGGTGGGGATGGACTTTTCATTAATATTTGTCTGAATTTGCAGCTAAAGAAAAACTGACTTACATTAGATCCTTTTTATTAAGATCTATCAATAGCTTTCATGGACAGTAAATTAATATAAAATTGAAGGGAAAAAGATTTTGTCATAAAATGTTGCAAATAAGGCACAGTCTGTCAGATGATAAAAAATAGTTTAGCAAAGATACTAATTTCTCACACTAATGTCATACTGTGGAAAAATAAGCCAAATAATAAACAGATCTAGTATAAAAAAGAACTTTCAAAGGAATGACAACCATTTCTACACACATATCCTAAGCTCAAGCAAATTGTGATAAATGTTTTAAGCAAGAGGTGCACAGTGAGTTTTTTTTTATATTTACATCAAATGATGAACTGATTACATAATACACCTAATTTGTGGTTTGTGTCCTCTCCTACACCCCTGACAAAATATGCAGATGTCAACTATTCTCTGTTAGTACAAACAGCCAGTGATATTTACAAAAAGGTTGTACTAAGCAATCCAATTCATCTGGCAATTCCTTTGGTTTTTCCAGTAATACAAACAGACTCAGAAAGTATACAATGGTTGTCAAAATGTGTCTTCAAGTCTAGGTGGTGTAACACTGACACTGCATAAAGTGTTGGTATAAAGCACTGTAATCATGTCTTTCCATTATCTAGAAAATCCTTCATGTGTCCACTGTCATACTTTTTTGGCAGTTGTGCGCATTGTTGTCCAATCAGACAAAGCTCACGTCTTTGGATTCTAGGTATGATGACAGCACGAGAACCTCAACTCAGTGAAGTGGAGAAAGTAAGTCAAAATATAATTCTGTAGTTCAGCTTCTGACTTAGCTGTAAATTTTTGAAAAGCTATAGGCTAATGGTCAACTTTATATAACATCACATTATATTATGACAAGATTGTATGTCAGGCACTGTAAGGGCAGAGTTTGGTTCTTTGGTATGGTCAGAGCTGATAATTAGTGGTCCATACAGCTACTTTCAAGCCAGTGTATGATGGCTAATTACTAGCTTGTTTCTAGCCAGCACATAGGCTGTGATGTGGCTTTTCACCAGTGCTCCAGGTGAAGGTCCATAGCAGAGTTCAAGTTAATGTCTGTGACATCCAGGAACTCTGTGTTGAAGATGCTGGGGCCACTGGGTGGAGCAACACTGAAGGCTGTGGCTGAGCTGGGCGGCGTCAGGTCCAGCCACTCCATCGATTCCCATGGGGCTTCGCTGAAGGTCATGCTGAGCATCCCTTGTACCTCGGGAATGGTGGACACCTTGGTGCCGATGGGTGACAGAGGAGTGTCCATCAGATCTCTGTTGCTCAGAAGTTTGTCCCGACCCATCCCATCCTCGGAAGCCATTTTAAGAAGGGCCACGTCCCCTCCTCGACCAGTTGAACTTCCCAGGAGAGTCTCCATGTGGCTCCCAGTGACATGACTGGCCGAGTGGTCGTAAGAGAGCTGAGCAGGGGACAGGTGTTCGTAGTGTCGATGAAACCTTGGGATGAGGAGGCCGGGACACCCTGGGGACACAGTAATGTGAGGCACAACTTTGCTTACAGAGGACCTCTCCCTCTCTTCTCTGGCATTAGCTGGCATCTCTTAAAGAGAAAGAGGAGAGGAGGGAGAGTCACAGCAGGTAGTGGAACCTGTACCAATGTACAGAGTGCGGCTCCGATTCACAAGTGACACCAGTGCACTTGTAATGATTTTATTATATGTCGATTTACTCATACGCATCGGCATGCTGAGTGCCAGCTACAGTTTTATTTCTTGTTGCTAGCAGTGAATTTCACCTTACCTCCACTCTCTATGAGCACATCCAAAAGTTCATCCATCTGCTGACTTCTGGTCAGTTGCTGTAATGGTAATAAAAAAGTGACGTTTTATTAATTCAACAATGCTGTAAATATTAAAACTTCAATACAGCTATAATGAAGGATTTGACATGAAAAATATGCAAGCTTTCAAGCAGTCAGACTATAGTTTCTGGAATACAAACTTGTCTTGGAGACTAGTTTTATAGCTTAAGACCAAAAAGCAAGATGTATGCATCCTAACCCTCCAGTCCTAACTGGACTGGTTAGAACTGTAATACTAGCTATTTTTCAAATTGAAAAGCACTAATACTATATTCTTTAGAAATTATGTCTGCCTTCAAAAAATGTTTGTACTGCTAAAACGCCAGTCTGCTACAGACTTGGTAAAGGGTGAAAAGTTAGTGCTGTGAACAAAGCAATGGGATGAATAACAGAGGTGCGTTACAGGTAATGGACTTAAAGAGACAAAAAAGAGAAGATAGGGAAAAATGGAATTAGAGCAATGCCGATAGGTCAAATAAAATCTCTGGCCAGCCATTATCTACTCCATTTTAGCATGAATTTGAGTTTACCTGCTTCACTGCATCCTCATAGCGTGGGGGCTGTCTTAAGTCAGATGCATCTGAATCTGAGCTACTGAAGGCAGGGGGAGAGATCTGGCATTTTTGGCCAACATGTCGAGGAGAGGGCAATACTGACATCTATGTGAGAAATAGGTGAAAAGTGACATTAGCCCACCAATTGGAATAGGGGACTTAAACAGTGAACTTTAAGAAACGGGCTGGCGTTCTTGTAAAGGAAAAGTCACTGACGTGAAGGAACTTGTAATGAAAACAGATGAACTCGTGACAAGAGTGCTAATGAACCTCATGACAAAAGACAATCATAGAGTAAGAGACAGATCATGAATGGAAAAGAAGCAAACGGTTATATGAATGTGAGGTGATTTAGATGAAGTACATGACACCGACGTGACAGAAATGCAAATGCAGCGCTGACATGATGTTTACCTTTGGCTGCATATGCTGGTTGTCAGCCTTGGCTGAGCTGTTGTGGTTAAGGCCACAATCAGAAGAGTTGTGAAAGACTCCCTGAAGACCTCTTTGGTCAGAAGGATAAGAACAGTTCACTGGCTGGGCCCCACTCTTCTGCTGCATCTGCAGCCAGATGTAAAATAACACCATGACAGCATGTACATGAAAAGAACTTGGAGATATACAATACTGTGGTTACAGTTCTTTGACTGGTAACCACAGTATTGTACTGGTATTAGACTGGTAATGTGTCTAATACTTTATGACCAAATACCTCCAGGAGTAATAAACACCTTTATAATAAGGTGATAGGATAGTAATAAATAGTGATTAGTGATAAGAAGTAATGACCTTCTCATCAGCATCCACGGTTTTCTTTGGTACTAATTAGCTGATGTTAGCATGCTAACATGCTAAAAGCACTTAAACATCGCCTATTAAATATCAGTCACTGTGAACATGTTAGCATGCTTATGTTAATACTCAGTTTATGTTATGTTATTTCTCCACAGAACCATTCAGAGTGTTTTGTGTCTATGAATACATCATACCTGCATGTTGCATGCTCTGTTGTTGCCCTGGATGTGGGGGTGACTGCAGCTGTCTCTTCCCAGTGGGGGTGACAGCAGGTAGGGGTTATTAGGAGATGACGGCTGGGGGCTACTGGAAGCCTTTCCGTTGGGAGATTCTTGCGGTGAGCACTGTGGACTAAGGAAAGCAGACATGGTGGAGGGGCTGCCAGAAGAAGGTGCTGTGTCCATGCACTGTGGCCCACTGGGCCCCCCTACATTGGAGACGGAGGTGTTGCAGTGCCCCATATCCTCCATGCAGCTGCCAGCAGGGCCCTTCAGCTGTTTGGGAGAGGACAGTGGGCAACTGGAGGACAGGGACACAGGCTCCTGCTTGACAGTCACCCCAAAGAAGTGCTGGCCCATAATGGCTGGAGTCTGCTGGTGCTGCATGGAGCGGTGAGATAGAGGAGGGACTGTGTCCTGTGTTGCTCCATAGCAGCGCTTCCGCTTGTGTAGCTGCATTTTCAGCTCTTCGACCTAGCAGGTAGGGTCACAAAGGTCATTATGTCAGTGCTTTTGTGTATCAGAACATGGTGGTGCTTATTTGTCTGCTTTCACTGTCAGTGTTGTTATGTGTAGTTGGCTCACTGTTATGGCTCACACTAAATTCAACCTAAATGCCACTGGTCATGTTATTAACACATGTATTTCTCCTACTATGACAGTTCAAAATGTGTGCTTAAAAAAAGCACAGACAACTGTTTACATGAATTTTAGGCAACAAAGTCATTCAAAGTTTGAAAAACTTTGAAAGGTGTGTCTCTTTTCGTTAATTCTTTTGAAGCTTTAAAGCTAAGCAGGATTCACTGCAGTCTGATATACTGATGGTCACTCACCTGTCTCTGCTCCTGGTGCAGCTTCCACGTCAGTTCCTCAATCACTTTCTGCTTTTCCACCAGCATTTTATCTTTTTCAGCTTCAAGGCCATCCATACCTCCACCCTCCCCCGCCCTGTGTCCTCCTAAGCCATCCTCTATGCTGAGCTGGGCCGGGGACGGCTGCAGAGCGAACTGTGTAGGTGACGACATGGGAACGTCGCTGAAGCTGTCAGGGAGTGAGCCACTGAGGGACAGCTCAGACGAGGCCGGGGAGATGGGAGGGGTAGAGGAGGTGCTGGGGTAAGGGTAGTAGCCTCCCTGGGACAGAGCACTGGAAGAGGATGGAGACTGGTAAGAAGACAGGGACCCCGTGGGTGTGACAGGGAAGGTCACTGTGGTGATGTCAGAGGAGCCCGAGGGCGAGGAGCCAGCATTATAGTCCTTGAATGGCCTGAGTCGCTCAATGAGGGCAGTCTTGGTGCCTGAGACAGGCATGCCACGCATACGCAGGTGCTGCCTGAGTTCTGATACCTTACACACCAAAACAACAGAGATTGGATTTGATGGAGCATTTGTTGTACAGCATAGACTGTTTATTTGAATTTCATTTCCACACCACCTACCTTCAGGTCATCCAAATTGGCTGGCAGGGGCCCAGGTTTGACCGGTGAGACGTTACTTTGACTGGGATATGTGTTCTTGACCGGAGAAGAGGAGTTGCTGTTGGCTGTGCTGGGTGGAGCATTGGAGCTACCAGCTGATATCTGCTCACTGGCTCCTCTAGAATGGCACCATTAATGTGGCTTAGTCCATTACAACAACACACAGTAAAATATACACTTGGTGTCACTTTCTAACAAGAAGTTCATTGAACTTAATGGTTAAATCTTATGAGCCAGTGCTTTATAGATAAGCTATAAATAAGAACACACTTTAAAATCTATATACCAATGCACTAAAACTGTATTATTTTCATATTAACAATGAGTATATGTAATGTGAGAGGAGTCATGTTTAGCAAATAAACCAAAGAGAAACTTTTAGTGCCTTTCAGCTCATTGTTTTGATCTTAGGACCCATCACTTTACTGCTTTGGTTCAGTCCCAAATACAACAGACCATACACTGGTTTTCAGTGAACAAGCTGTGACACCTTCTCAACACCAACCAGCAGACAGACACAGTTAGCGACTAGCTGGTGAACATAATGGAGCATTTAGCAGCCAGATGTTTTTCTCGGCAGCTGCAGCACAGCACAACTAAAACAGAGTGAAAAGTGCCCAACAGCATGGCTCCATATCAATTCCAATGTTTTTTAACATTACAAAATAATAAGTCATTAGTTGGTGAGGCGTCTACAGCTTGTTTCTGGAGTCCCCCAGTGGCCAAATTCAGTTAATGCAGATCTATCATTTACAATTGCAGAGGCCAGGCTGTTGTATTACCCTTCATTAATAACTCATTAAGTATAAATAACCACAGTTAAAGTTTTGTGGATTTTCAGAGAGTGAAATCCTCATTAAGCTTTATTAATGACTTTATATCTGCTACTGCAAAACTGGCGGCTCATTAGAAAGTTTAGATACATTATCCTTTATTAATGACTTGATGGCTTATTAGAAAGTGAGTTACCCAAGTGGAATTATTATTGAATTAGTACAACAAACCTACAGAATTTATTTTATTGTGACAATTAATAACCTACTAATACCACTGGGTTTCTCACCACCTCTTAAGCTATGTACTATACAGATGCAAACTTAAGTTTTCATTCCTGATTTTGGAAGCAGAAGTTGCTAAAATGATCTTAATTCGAGGTCTAATTGCTCACTTGTTTGGAGCTTCTGACAATGTAACACAGTGGTTAGAAAAATCTAAAAGTCTAAACATTTACAGGTCCAGGACAGCTATGCACCTTCATCTGCTGATGAAGACTGTCTGGTGTGGTCAGCAGGTCCAGAAAACTAGGAAGTAGGCCTTGAGTTCAAATTGCTTTGTTAATTTATTTCCTTTAAACATGAACATTAATTAACACTGACAGAATAAACTTGACTCAAGTTCTTCTCAGAAGCTTTTTTAGGAGCATTTCATGTCATCACATCAGCAAATTAAGTTTACTCAGTTGTCATAAATGTGAGTATGGGCCTGAGCGAGCTGCAGGCTGAGGATGACCATGACAGCACGCAGCTGAAAGTGAGCTCGTAAATGGACCTTGGGATTAGATCACTTTATTACTGATTTGCCCAGTAGTGTGACTTACTTGTGGCTCTGGGCTGGTGGGTGAGGCTGGTAGCTGAAGGTAGGCTGTTTCTGCTGAGTCGGGGCCTGTGCCTGTGGACTGTGCGTGTGCTGCTTGGACTGCTGTGTCTGCGAATGTGCGTGAGCATGTTTCTGCTGGCTGAGGATCTGCAGCTGCAGGAAGAGCTGCTGCTGCTGCAGGAGTCGGGCGTAGGCAGAGTCCATGGGTGGAGGAGACTTCTCAGCCTTCTGGTCCGGGGGAATGTACTGGTGGTACTTGAGCTTCTTCACCTTGGGCTTCACATCTTTGGGCTTCTTGTGTCGGTTCTTGTCTGATGTCTTGGACTGGCCAGAGTAAAGAGCGTGAGGCAGTGTGAGCATGCAAGCTGGTGGGCTTTAAAGGGGTTAAACTTGAGGACAAAGGAAAGTGAGCTGTTTAAGAATCAGCTGACCTTGACAGCAGGAACAGGTATTGGGGAAGTAGTAGCCTGACTGTTGTTGGCACCACACAGCCCTTCATCCTGGATTTGGTCAGGTGGGTCTCTGGTTGCTCCCCCCTGTTCACACACAAAAACAAGATATAAGAACCAAGTTTCTCCCAGCTAAAGATCTACTCCAACACAGAAGCTTCTCAAATGTAACTCTGTAGACATTAGTATCTTTAAATACAGGGCTATTGGATGACCAAAACAAGCCATCCAAATACTATGCTGGCTACCGATTCCTTACCTTTGGCATAATGAATTGTATTATAGGTTTAAATTTGAATTGATTTAACAAATACAGCAGACCTTTATGCTAATTAATTTAACAGTTAACTGAAAATAAACTGAAATCTTGCTTTTACATTAATCTTGCGTTTACATTAATACTGTATGTAGGCAGTATATAAGGTCATACAGTTTGCAGTGCTTGTCCAAGGAACACTCTGCAGACCAGTGCACTGAGCTAAATGCTAATGTCAACATGCTAACTTGTGCACAATAAAAACATCAACATGCTGATGTTTAGCAAATAATATTTATCATGATTGACAAATTAAACTAATAACACATAACACAACATATATTTTTATGTTATTAGCTTTTTCAAGTATTTGGTCACAATTATGAGACGCTCATACTTTGAGTATTTTCATTGATGCTACTCTATACAATAGGTCTACTCCACATTTCAGGGGAAAAGGTTACATTACTTTTTACTCCACTACAACAGTCTGAAAAGTTAAGTTATTAGCTGCATTGCAGACTAAGATTTCATGATGAGTGTATAAAATACGGTGCATTTTTATACAGTGAAATAAACTAGTCACAGGTATATAAAGTAATATAGAGTTAGCTTCACTGCGGCCTGCTGCAACATGTAACATGCTTTACAAACAAATTAATCCATCGCTAATCATACGCCAACAGTGGTAGGGGCTGTTTTGCATTTATAATGAGTACACTGACTTTTACACTTTAAAGGTACAGTTTGCTGAAAATGCATACATTGTTTTACTTAAGTAACATTTTCAGTGACAGACTTTTACTTGCAAAAGAGTAGTTTAACATTCTGGTATTGCTAGTTTTATTTTTCAGTAAACAAACTGAATATTTTTTTTCCATCACTGCCTGTGGAGCAGTTTGATGTTTGACAATGTGAACCAAAAAAGTTAATACACAGTCAGAGGATCACAGAGTCAGTTCCAGATTTCATGGCAATCCTATATTTGTCAAGTTATTCTAGTCTGGACCAAAGTGGTGGACTGATCATCACTGCCATTCACAGAAATACTAAAGAAATCTTTTATGCATGAAAACTAGGAATTATACATTACTAATTGTTTGTGGATGCATTCTAAAATATGATGCATCAGTTCAGCTGCATATAAAGAAAATAAAGATGCAGTTTACTATCCTTTATGCTTCTGGGTAAACTAGTCTTGTTTCAGTCAGGCTGATGCACGAGTCTGATGAGTTCTTATCATATTCCCTCCCACAGACAAACATGTCGTGCCAAGTGATTCTAAACAATTAGAGCATAACATACACTTGGCCAATTTATTAGGTACACCTGTACAATTGTATGCAGTTCAATGCAACACTTCCACCTTAACATCTGTTTATGAAGCTCAAACTGTTTCAGTTTTTGGTCAAGTTGTCATAAATGTATAAGTTCAATTATATGTTTATTGTTGTCATAGTTAAAGGTGGTGTTGTAGAGGAATACATTATATCTAAAGCTGTTCCTCTGACCCTCTGATTTATGTAGTGGGGGAGAACAAAAATATAGAGCTTCATAAACACAGATGTTAAGGTGGTAGTGTTGCACTGAATTGCAAATAAGTGTACAGGTGTACCTAATAAAGTGGCTGGTGAATGTATAAGTGAATAAAAATCTACTAGCTGACTTAGTTTTTTTGACACTATGTTTGCTATTGTTGCCTGTATGTTGACCTGCCTGCACGTTTTCTGCAACTTGCTCTACTTTCTACTAAGTTGCATTTACAGTAGAAGGTGTGGAGACTGCTTTCCAGACAGTCAGTTTGTAATCCAAATGGAATAAATACCCCCAGAAATGCACATGTATTGATGTTTCCTCTGTAAAAGTATTCCAGAAAGTTCTAAACATACATTTCAAACTGACATGATACAGTGAGAGGTGATGATTCAGTTGGAGGACCGCAGATATAAACGTCTAACAGATATAAACAACCCTGTTTTGGCATGAATTTCAATCAAGTGACCGCTGCTGACCATGACCGTTGGAATGAGGTCATTGTGAGTGAAAGGTAAGCAGTCAGCTGTGACTCGGCGTGCAGGAATGTGACACCTGCCTAGGTCAACTCAGTACAACGCTCAGTGGAAAGCAGACTGAGGGGAGTGTGGCAGTTCACTTTGCCACCACAGGAGGGCAGAACAACCACAGGAGTGGGAGCAACTACTGCAGGTGCAATATAAGACAGGCTGACAGATAACAGGCATAGAAGACAAAGCAGGCTTTTACTTGTCGTGGGCTGGTGAGGGCAGGTGAGGAGGAGGAGGAGGGCGTGCTGCCGACAGCCTCAGATGAAGGGCAGGCTGAGCCCTGCGACTCGTCACTGTGGTGCTGTTCTGGAGACAGACTCTCACTGCTGCTGTCCTCCTCAAACGCATATGAGTCCTCCTGCTTAGGGAACTTGCCATGGTTCACTGTAAGGAGAGCAGACAGAGAGGCAGCTGTGGGGTCAGTGAGGTGGCGGACAACACAAAAGGTTGCTGTGTGTTGTCTTTTGTTGTTTGTATTGTGGCTATCGTTCCCATCATTAATGATAACATCTGTACTCACCAAAGTCGTGTCTGAGCTCTGTACCCACACAGCAAGTACAGCAGGATGTCAGTTTGTAAAAGGACTGTTAACAAGGACAGTCTGGGTCATAATGTTTCTGTTCCCCTTTGGGTTCTTTTACAAAGCATCTGGCTAACCTGGAGGTCTGTTTAAAACCTGCTTTCTCTACTTGTGCTTCTTGCTCCATCTCCTACAGTTGTACAGCTTTAGTCTGATTTACCCGCTAACCTATTTCTAAACTGCACCCTTTTACTGTCCTGCTGCAGCTGCCACAACCTAGACAAGAGAAGCTCTGAGCTGATGAAAAATGGTGATATGTGCATCTGAGTGGCATTTAGTTATAACGTATGCTCTCAACAGTCAAGCAGCAGTGAGTGATTTGCAAACTTCGTCCATCAGTTAGAGATAAGGGCATAATTCCCTGTGGTCTTCATAATGAAAATCAAAGTACAAGGTCATATAGTATAAAATATAAGGTCTAGATCTAGAGAACTGCAGGAAGTTCAGGATTAGTGTATTAAAAACACAGCAATACATAACATTCCTAATATGTCTGTATTTTTGAGTTATATAAAAAGCTTAATAACCATCCATCCATTTTCTACCGCTTATCCAGGATCGGGTTGCGGTGGCAGCAGGTTTAGTAAGGTAGTCCAGACTTAATAACCATTTTTTGCAGAATGAATATCAACAAACCAGCTGCCCATCATCTAGCTTAGTGAGTACAGTGATCCCAACAGGGAAGATGGCAAAAAGTCCAAAATGAGACCTAAGTTGTAATAAACAGGCAGTAAGCTTTGATGGTTGGCACAGGAAGGGGAAACAGGGGACTGAGTGTTTATGTGCAGCTTAGACGCACACTGTACATAATGTATATGAGCAGCGGTATCCACACACTGCCTGTCTATCACTGACACCTAGTAGGACACTCAGCCCAGAGGTGTTACGCTGTGTGGCTGATGTGGGTGAGAGACTGACACAACCACTTCACATCTACCACCGTCCTGACTGGCTGGGCTGATAGGAAACATGGCTCTAATTGGAGGAGCTAAGAGCAGCTATCTAACAGAGCTGAAGGGACAGAGCCAGGGGAGGGAGGTGTGTGTGTGTGTGTGTGTGTGTGTGTTGCGTGCATGTGCAGAGGTATAAGATTCTCTTTTTGTGTCCAAACATGTGACAGCCAGGAACAGATCCTGGTTTTAATCACAGCGCCAGGCCCATTCTGTCCAACTCAGTGTTCTTGTGCTATAGAGTGAGAACCAAAAAGTCTTTTTTTCTAGAGTGAGGACATTTTTGGAGCGTGAGGCCATTTTTGGCTGGTCCTCACTTTTTGAAACACCTTTTTGAGGGTTAAGACTTTAGGGTTCTGGTTAGAATTAGTTAGAATTAATTAATTAGCATTTAGTTCTGATGATTAAAGTTAGGCTAAGGGGCTAGGGAATGCATTATGGCAACAAGTGCTCTCACAAAGACTGAAGTACAAGAATGTATGGCCTCACAATACACACACACACACACACACACACACACCCATGCTGTGTTTTCATTCCTTGTGGGGACTTTACATTGACTTACATTCATTTCCTGTAGACTTATCCTAACCCTTAACCATAACCACTACTTGCCTAACCCTAAGTGGGGAACCTAACCTTAAACCATGTAGCCACCCTAAAATTCAGTGATTTGCTTGTGGGGACCAACCTCTGGCCGAGTCCCCACAATGTGCATGTTAACAGGTTTCGGTTCCCATAATGTAAGTAACACAAAGGCACACACTCTCAGAGCTTAACACACAGCTTAGTGCATAGCATTGTACTAAATGCCATTTTCCTCCCACCTGTTCATATGTAACTCCTTCACAGACTCATGTGTGACTTTGCTGGTCTTGCTGTGCTATATACAGTCCTGTACATGTTGTTTCCATGAGTTTGATGTCACCAGGAGATTGAGATGGCAGAATTACAGGAAATGTGTTAGCCATGCACACTTCCGCTTTTCAAGAGGCCGGGTTAGAAGTTACAGCAGGTCACATAGTTTCCAAAATTACTAGACAGAGGTTGAAACAATCACTGGGGGTGTTGTGCAAGGGGACACAGAGCTTTGAGGTGAGGGGTTAATGCTGCAGGCAGAGGAGAATGCAACAGCCTGGTCCGGTCATGGAGCTTTGTAGGTGGCTCACTGGAGCCGCAGAGGCCAGTTAAAGCAGAGACAAAAGAGGGAAGGAGGTGGTTGCAAACATACACACAGGTATGCCCACACATGCACACAAGGATGCATTCAAATACACATCCCCACTTCTAAAGAAAAAGGGTGGATCCAAATACAGCTGCTGTTCATCTCAGTAAATGGTGCTCCCCTCCTCCTACAGAGGTAGTGTAAACCAGCTGACCGCAGCTCGCCGGCTCCTTTACGCAACATGTTTACTGGAAGCTCAAGGGGGGAAAACATAAACCCGCTAAAACACCACAGTCTCAAAAACACTGGCTGCGCTGCCAAGAATGATATAGAGAGAGTGAGTAACATGTTGGGGATCAGTGTGAGGTCAGAGCGGCGCGGTGGGACGGCTGCAGCCTGACGCTTCATACAGCACTAAATTAGCGGAATGTCTAAGCATGTATGCTGTGCATTTCCTTAAATCAAACACTGGAGGAGGCGGAGGTCTTGAGGGGACTCCCTACACACTTGAGTCCACTGTACACATTTGTAAATACTGGTGCCAAAGCAGGCGCTTTGTGAAGAACATTAGACTTTTCAGTGCCACAATAGCAACATTTCTACAGATCCAGATTGGTTATAAGAAACTTTCTGGAATAAGCATGATGTTCTGAAAATGTAAACAACATTCTTAGCACAAGTAAAACAAATAAATAGTTTTGCTGGCTAACAAATTGGAATCACTTTAAGGACGGACAACAGGAAGCAGGTAGTTTGACCAGTAGAATGTAAAGGTGGGGAGTCAGAGCCACAGAAACACAAACTTGGATTGCAAGGTTAAGTAACAGCCCAAGTTGTTTCTTAATATTTAGCTATAAATGTTGGCGATTCATTAATAAATGTTCATACATTTCTCACTTTTTAATACATCATCTATTCTGTAGCTTATAAATGAATAATAAAGGGTCTTTAACCCATCAAGCTAAAACAATCAAAAGTATGTTTTGCTGTGTTATTATTATGCTCAATAATGTATTTTCATAATAAACAAGTAAGGGACCATGGGGATTTCAGGGCCACAGTTGTGCACTAAAAATCGGCTGTATCTTGAGTCATTTACTTTCATTAAACCTTTTCATCTAATGCACAGGAAAAATAGCAGCCACATCATGCTGTTGTCAATGTTGTGATCATAATGTTCATAAATCTACAACAAACTATTTACTTTTAGTTGGTGCTTGTTTGACACAACGATGTGACTGTGTTGAGCTCCAACACTGGACTTCGGACCACTCAGCAAATGACTTGAACAGTGATTTGTTAAAATATACACACACACAGTCAGTAGGGAAACGTGCTGTCTTTTTCTTTCACAAACGTGGAGTCACGCAGGCTGAGATGCAGCAGCTGTTAAAAGGTGTGTTGCACTACATGGTGGCTTCACTCTGCTGATACCTGTCACTGTGATGGCAGAATCTAAGGGAATGATATTCTTTTGGACCAGCTCCAGCGGCCCTGGCCTGAGAGCCAGCTTCTCATTCAGGTCCTTGGTAAGCCGGGCTCGCTTTAGCCTCAGCTGGGCTTCCAGAGAGGAGCCATCTGAGGCCGGGTCTGCGCAACACACAGCAGCACTGCACCATCAACAATGTACTCACACAAGTCTGAACTTACTGCAGCAGTACTGTACATACATTTACTCAAGATCTGTTCCGAAGAACAATTTTAGAAAGACTTATAGTTAGTTTTCAGCTTTACACAATCTCATTCTTCTACTGCATTACAGTTCATGTGAACCCCACCGTGTTAATGTGACAGCTTTAGTTAAAAATTGGTATGCATTGAATTAAACTATCAAGTATAAGATAGGTTAAACTGGATACAGCCAGATACAACATTAATGCATCAGTTATCATTTTATAATACAGTGAAAGGGACCACTCTGTGGCACAATGACTACCTTAACTTTTCAAATTTTCAGTGCCATCACTGTGATAGCTGCCACATTCAAGTTTGAAGAGGTTCAAACCAACACACTTCTCATTTGAATTCATCCAAAAACATCTAATCCTAAATTACGTGACTGCAGTCACGTGATAGAACATGCCTACAGACTCAGTGTGACCACTCCAGACTATACGCTGCCGTACTCTCTAATGGGCTCACATTACAAGGACTTTACTAGGAGCTCCTACGACTAATGTCTAGATCATTTCAGCATTCCAGCGCATGGCTGAAAAGGGCTTAAGAGGAATACTGGATGTTGCTGAATGCTGCTGTTAGCTCCTGCTTATAACCCTGCCCATGATTTTTCCTGTCCTGTTGGCACAACAGTATATTTCAACAGCTGAATTTTGCCTGATTGTGCTGTTTCACCTGAAAGACAAGCTAACGTCACAGCATGCTTGTGTTTACAAAGTCTGAAATAAGAATAAGCATTAAAAAACCTCTGCAAACTCTCAGGACCTTAACACACAGCAAACATACAATTCATTCATATTTATTTTGCACATAATCTAACCTTTCTCTTCAATAACAAGAATGTATATTTTCTGATTCATAACATAACACACGCACACACACACACATATATATGTAAACTTATAAAATGTATTTTATACTTTTCATAACTCGTGAAAGCGATTTTATTCCAGTTTGCTCTGTTTTTCATATCAGTCAAGTCAGGTTTGTCTAGAGTCCCATCTGCCTGCTG